CCCGGGACCAGCCCTTCTTCCGCCTCAGCCCAGCCCCAGGACCCGTCGAGGATGACCACGTCCCCTTCCTCCAGCGAGGTGACGTCCCCACCTCCCCCCTGTCCCCTGGGGCACATTGTCCCTGCATCCCCACGCGGCGTGGCTGGGGCAAGGCGGGCAGCTGGGCTTCCGTGGGCTGAGGGACATGTCCCCTCCCTATGTGTGTGTCCCCACAGGTGTCCCTGTGCTGCACCTTATCCCCATGCCCTTCCCACATGTGTGGCACACCCTTGAGGACACCGAGGACAACCTGCACCCCCCCACCGTGGAGGACCTGTGCAAGATCCTGGTCGCCTTTGTGGCCGAGTTCCTGCAGCTCTGAGCCCTGCAGTCCCCCCCATCGGCCCCAGCCTGAGCCCCCGGGGGACTCTGGGCTGCCCCGGGAGCCACCAGTAAAGTGCTTGGTGACTGATGCCGTGTCCTGTGCTGTCACCTGCCACAGGGACACCCCTGGCGACACGGACACATGATACATGGGGACGTGCAGTTCAGTGTTGGGCCCCTCATGACAAGAAGGACGTTGAGGTGCTGGAGCGTGTCCAGAGAAGGGCGACGGAGCTGGGGAGGGGTCTGGGGCACAAGTCTGATGAGGAGCGGCTGAGGGAACTGGGGGTGTTCAGTCTGGAGAAGAGGAGGCTGAGGGGAGCCCTCATTGCTCCCCACAAGTACCTGAAAGGGGGTTGTGGTGAGGTGGGGGTTGGTCTCTTCTCCCTAGTAACTAGCGACAGAATGAGAGGAAATGGCTCAAGTTGCACCAAGGGAGGTTTAGACTGGGTATTAGGAAAAATTTCTTCACCAAGAGAGTGGTCAAGCGTTGGAACAGGCTGCCCAGGGAGGTGGTGGAGTCACCATCCCTGCAGGTATTCAAAAAAGTGTGGATGTGGCACTTCGGGACATGGTGAGTATGTCCTTTGCCCTCCTGCCCCAAAGGAGCCCAATTCCTCCAAAGAAAAGAAAAAAAAAGAACAAAAAACCCCCCATTTTATTGCTTATACCGTACAAATATGAGGGCGGGTGAGAGCTGCCGGCCAGCCCCTACCACCACACGGGGGATGCCAGGCCACCATGTCCACTGCACCTTGTTGAGGGGTCTCATCCCTCAACCCACTCCAGTATTTTTAAGTTAATTCAGCTGAATCTGGGCAACTAGAAAGTGACTTTTTTCAGTTCCTCCCTGTGGGGAAGTGGCATCAGGCACCAAATTCCTATCTCCAAACCGTGGCCTTGGTGTCAGCTATGCCAGGAGACGCCAGGCAGCAAGTCCAGCTTGTCACTTGCAGGTGCCACTTGCGGGTGCTGCGGTGATGGTAGTGCTCCCCGAATGCCAAGTCCCACCAGTGTTGTGCCGTGCTGGTGGGGTTTGGAGTCAACAGCCCCAGTGACAGTGGCCTCTACCGAAAAGCGTCTGCAAAGTGTCCGTTGGGTGTGGATCCATCGCCAGCAATGGTGCACGCCAGAAGAAACCCAGTCCTGGTGCCGGCAGCCGTGGATGCCAAGCCGGCCGTGGGGCAGAAAAAGCCCCGTCCCTCTGCAACACTGCGCTGGGACCAGAGGCTGTTGGCTCCGGTGACGCCATCATCCACCGAGGATGCCAGAGGATGGGGCTGGTGTCCTGGAGCCCAGTGTCACCACAGGTCCTGGCTTTAAGGCACGGGAGAAGCCAAACTATTGCTTTTAGGACTGCATTTTCCTTAGGGCCACGCCAGCCAGCCGTGGGATCAAGGCGCTCTCCTCTGCCAAGGTGCCCATTTGGAGGTATGGCTGGTTTTCAGTCACTGCAGGTTCAGTTCACAGCAGAGCCGGGAGGATTTGAGGGGCTGAGACGTGGCCCCCTCAGTCTCGGGAGGGGTGCTGCCCTGTTGTCCCCCCCGTTCTTAGGGCAGCTGTAACTGGATCCCGGCCATGGGTCACCCCCCTGCCCCTTCAGCTTCTCCCCAACTGGGAGCAGTGGGTTTTACTGGGCGGAGGGCTGGCTGAGCTTCCAGGGGGGCAAGGCCACAGTTGTGGGGAAGTGGGGGCGTTGGTTTAAAAAGCTGTAAGCACTTCTAAGAGTTTAAAAAACAAAAATAATTAAAATCAAAGCAGTCCTAGGCTAGAGGCAGGAGGCACAGCTCTGTACCGGTGGGAGCAGTGGAGCAAGAGCACTTGGTAGGGGTATGGCTTCTGAAAGGCGCTGCGGCGTAACATCGGTGAGCTGCAGCATCCTGCCCCCCTTCTGCCGGGCACAGAAGAGAAATGCCCCCCTGCCGTGAATGAACCCCCCAAACCCTCCTCCTCCTTGGCCAAATGCTGCTGCTGCCGGTTACTCCCGTATGCTGGCAGAGTAGGAGAACTGGGGGAAGTGTGTCCGCTGGTCATTCTCCAGGGAGCCCATGTTGTCATCTGTAAAGCCGGGGCCAGGGAAGGGTTTGAGGGTGAGAGACCCTGAAGAAGCCTCCCTGGTGTGTCCAGAACTTTCCCCGCTCCCTCCCGTGGCAGAGATGCCACCAAAGCTGCCCAAGACCTCTCCAGGGCAGTGAGAGGGACCCCGAGCTTTTGTAGAGGTGACAGCAATGCCACCAGCCCCTCGGTTGACACGTGCCACCACCATGGTGACAGGACAATGAGGCTGCACAAGAGGAAGGAGTACAGGTGACAAAAGGGGTTCCCATTTTTGGGTGGGGTTGGCACTCACAGCGATCCGGTGGGGTGATGGTGATGGACTGGGCAGTGAACTCATCATCAAAATACCGTGTGTCAATCTCAGACGTCACTTGGGGCTTGAATGGTGGCACCAGCTGATGGAGACCGGGAGAAATTCGCTCGCCAGCAGCATGCCAAGTGCCCGCCTGCCCCTTCACCCCCTGCTCCCTTCCCTTCCTACCTTCTTCTGAACCACATCCTGCCAGTTGATGGGGGTGAAAAAGCGATGCTCCATCACCTCCTTGGCATCGTTGGGACCTCCGCCAAGCCTGCAGGCAGAGAGGTGCGTCCAGAACTGCTGGCAGTGCCGTGGTCACCCCCATCCATCCCTGGCAGACCCTCACCTCTGTTTGGGATCCTTCTTGAGCAGCCCGGCCAGCAAGGATTTGGCATCGGGGCTGAGGGTACGAGGGAAGCGGATCTCCTCCATGAGGATCAGCTCAAAGAGGCGTTCATGGTCCTGGTTGTAGAAGGGGAGGCGACCACACATCATCTCGTACATGACGACCCCCAGGCCCCACCAGTCCACAGCACGGCCGTAATCGTTGTCCTCCAGGACCTGTGTTAGGGAAGACGGAGAGGATAGTGCCAACGAGGCTGAAGAATGAGGCAGCAACACAAGGAGGGAGAAAGGAAACCCATTCTAGATGCTCTAGAGACTCCTGCAACCCAAGCATTTGGGAAAGCCCCCACTGAACCACTGCCATCTTCAACTTTAGGAATAACCTCCAGTGAAAAACCTCTTTGGCGCAAGAATTT